GTATGGACAGCCTTACTGAATGGATCACCAGATGAAATAAAGAAGAAAGAAAGCCTAAAAAATAAATGTAATGTAGACATCACATCTAAGAAATTGTAAGCTGCAACATAATAAATGTTTGCTTTTGGGCTTAATACCACTTTAATTTGCGTCTTTTATATCTGCCTAGAGATCAGGTCTAATAGCATCAGACTCCACCCAAAACAGCCACACAAGTGAAGGGATTTTACAGTTTACTGGTGCAGCCAGAATATATTTAGAATTGTGTATTCTACTTCTGTTCCGTATATGCTGGTCTGATCTTTCTGAAATAACACCATTTAATGAGGCAGTGCAAACCAAACCAACGGTGTGCAAAGTGTAGTAAACCTTTACGAGCCAATCAGATGTCACCATTTAATGGCTTGCAGCAGTCAAAGAGAACTGTATGATGTTTGTTGTATTAATTAAATTGTTCTTTTTACCATCTGCAAATGTCTTATTAACTGAACATTAACACTTTTTGTTGTTGTTTACTATGTTATTGTATGTATGTATGCATTTTTGTATAACTATGGAGGTGTATAGATATTGCTAAGAGTGTATTTTGGCTAACAAGCTCATTTTTAACTCTAAAGACATTTTAGAGAAAGCAAATGTATTTGTTGTTCATCGCAACCAGCCAGGTCAGGTGTTCGTATTCGTTTAACCAAATGTTTCATAAAATGTCTTTTGACGAAAGAGTGTCTTTGTTGTTCATAGCAACCAGATTTTACTTTTCTAACTTACAGTTGAAAAAACTTATAGGATCAGACTAGTTGCTGTGGGTAACAGGACCCTCTTTTTTAAGGCCTTGTGCACACTGGATGTTTTTTCTGCTGCTCCTAGGGGCGTCTGGCGTTTTTTTTCCCTGCCTTTAAACACCCCTGCCAGTTAGTTTATGTGTCCATGCATACATAGGCTTTTAGAGGCAGGGAAAAAAAAACATGGCCAGTGGGGTTTATTTACTAAACCTTGAGCGTGCAAAGTCAGGCTCACTTCTGCATAGAAACCAATCAGCTTCCAGGTTTCATTGCCAAAGCTTCATTGAACAAGCTCAGGTTAGAAGCTGATTGGTTTCTATGCAAAAGTGAGCCTGACTTTGCACTCTCCAGGTTTAGTAAATAAACCCCAGTGTGTCCAGGAGCAGTGGTATTTTGGCAGAAAAAAACGCTTGACATGTAATAAATGCGTTTGAAGGTACATTAACGATTGGCGTGTATAGCGTTGGGCGTTAATTCATTCCACTGGCCAGAATAAATGATTATTTTGGACAGTGAAATGAATTACTGCCCAAGTGCTTGATGTGGCTAAGCACACGTTTACAATCATCAAATCAAATGTTTTTTAAGACAAAATGCCTCTGCCAGGAGGAAAGACATCTAGGAGAGATAGAGAAACATCCAGTGTGCATGAGGCCTTATGATACTTTTCATACATGTGGCCTAGTCGGCATTATTTATCAAACTGCGGAAAGAATGGCTTCAGACAGTGGCCATTGTTACGTCGCAACCAATCAGGTTCAAATTTGCGTATTGACTGGCAAGACACATGGGCCTCATAGCAAGGTATGTGCACAAAGGCTGGATTTGCTCTAGGAACCAGCTGTTTACCTTCTATTCCACAACACCAGTCTTGGACAGTAAGGGCCCATGCATGATGGGTATGTAGCCGTGGTGCATCAGGCTCCAGCTTTTAGGTGAGGTGGAAGGCACAGGTGCACTGTCCCCCCCCCACTGCCTGCAGCCTGTAAAAGTCTATAAGAGGCTGAAATCTGTGATGGTGCAGCGAATTCTATTAATGTTTACGTATTATGCACCCAGGGCTTCAGATTTCTTGCATTCCAGGCATTCACCCCTGGGCACATACTGCCCCAAACATTAGAACTGTTCAGTGACCCGTCCAGTTGCAACAGTCTTCAGCCTCTCATAGTTTTATAGACTGCCGCCAGTGGGGCTGGATGGTGCACCTGTGCCTTCTGCCTGCACCTAAATGCCAAAACCTCATGTAGTGGGGCTAAATGCCCAAAGTCCATGGGGGTCTAATAACAAATATCTTTTAAACATCACAAGCACCAATCATAGTCAAGCCTTCATATTTCAATAGTCAATTTTTGCAGCTTCAAATCTTTTGGTGGAGGCAGTATAAATGCTTGGTCCCCAATGTCTGAGAAATTCTTCTCTAATATAAGTTGGTAAATAAGGCCCATCTGGGATCTGATTGGCTGCCATGGGCAACAAAGAAAGTCTCATTTCTAAAACTTGAAACAAAGATAGCTAGAACTTTTTTTCTTAACAACAAATCACATTTCAGGTTTTATTTTCCCAGTTAAGGTGAAGGATTGAGAACTATAACTGGTTGCTGTGGACACCACTAGGTTTTTTTTTCTTCTCTTTGCTTTACTGGTTGTTAACAAGGGTCACCCTGTCTCATTTATCAAAATGTTTTTTTATATAAGAACTGTCTGTATTGCCCCACAGCAATCCTTCAAATTCAAACATGTGCTGTTAAATGCAGATCAAGGATCAAGCTTTGGATGTGATTATTGTGGTGGGGCAGTAGGGATATTTGATATTGAAGTAGACCTATACTTTTAAGACCAGCCGACATTAGTCTTAACAAGATTCCATTAAATCTTTAAATGACTGTGGAAACGGAAAAAGACTTCCTCTGGCATTTGTCATGTGGTCTCTGCAGATGGGGGAGGATCAGAGTTAGGACACACGTGGACTGCCATTGCTCTTCTGAAAATGCTAGCTGTTAGGCCAGTGACCTGACTCTAAGTTCATCAATCAGGTTTAAGTCACTGGGAAGTAGCCATGGCAGCCACCATGTTTCTGTTAGGAAAGGTTACCTTTCACACCAGTGTGTGCCATTAATACATGGCAGAACGTCCAGTTCACCATACAATACTGCAGTGCACAAAGGTTACCTTTAGGGCCCATTCACACCAGTGTGTGCCATTAATACATGGTAGAACACCAGTTCACCATACAATACTGCAATGCACAAAGGTTACCTTTATGGCCCATTCACACCAGTATGTGACATTAATACATGGTAGAACACCCAGTTCACCATACAATACTGCAGTGCACAAAGGTTAACTTTAGGGCCCATTCACACCAGTATGTGACATTAATACATGGTAGAACACCAGTTCACCATACAATACTGCAATGCACAAAGGTTACCTTTATGGCCCATTCACACCAGTATGTGACATTAATACATGGTAGAACACCCAGTTCACCATACAATACTGCAGTGCACAAAGGTTAACTTTAGGGCCCATTCACACCAGTATGTGACATTAATACATGGTAGAACGCCCAGTTCACCATACAATACTGCAGTGCACAAAGGTTACCTTTAGGGCCCATTCACACCAGTATGTGACATTAATACATGGCAGAACGTCCAGTTCACCATACAATACTGCAGCACACAAAGCTAGGCGCAGTGCATTGCAGTGTAATGGGACCTCAACACATCTAGAGAGCGCACTCCAATGCACATGTGTTTCAGCACACAGCCAAGCACAAACAGTTGTACGTTACAATGAGCATTGTTAAAATTAAAATTGCGCATGCCTGTTTAAAATATTTGTATTGATGTGTTGGCAGCCTATTAAGCTTAAATGGGTTGTCTTACCACACACATAAATGCAGAATATACCACATTGTGAATGGGCTCTTAAGTCAGAGCTGCTAATTGGCTGCTGTCGACTGAATGTCATTCACATGAGTGCCTTTGGAAGAGACCACGTGACCAGTGAATGTCATTCTCTGCATCCCTTTGGCAAAGACCACAGGACCAGTCAATGTCATTCCCTGCATCCCTTTGGCAAAGACCACAGGACCAGTGAATGTCATTCTCTGCATCCCTTTGGTACAGACCACGTGACCAGTAAATGTCATTCTTCTGTGTCTTTTGGCAGAGACCACGAGACCAGTAAATGTAATTCTCTTACATCCCTTTGACAAAGACAACGTGACCAGTGAATGTCATTCCCCTGCGTTCCTTTTGGCAGAGATCACGTGACCTGTGAATGTCATTCTTCTGTGTCCCCTTAAAGACAACATGACCCTTGAATGTCATTCTTCTGTGTCCTTTTGGCAAAGACCACATGACCAGTGAATGTTGTTCTTCTGCATCTCTTTGATAAAGACCACATGACCAGTGAATGTCTTTCTTCTGTGTCCCTTTGGTAAAGACAACATGACCAGTGAATGCCATTCCCCTGCGTACTTTTGATAGAGACCAGATGACCAGTGAATGTCATTCCCATGTGTTCTTTGGCAAAGACCATGTGACCAGTGGACATTATTTTTCTTCTTCCCTTTGATAAGGACCAATTGACCAGTGAATGTCATTCTTCTGTGTTCTTTTGGTAAAGACCACGGGACCAGTGAGTGCCATTCTTTGGATCCCTTTGACAAGGACAATGTGACTAGTGAACGGCATTCCCCTGCATCCTTTTGGTCAAGACCACATGACCAGTGAATGGCATTCCCCTAAGTCCCTATGTGACCATTGACCACAAAAATGAAGCTCCCTACAACAAAGATATAAATTTCACAACTGCAATTTCAGCACAAATTTGATAGGACTTAAACGTATAGATCCATTAAAGGCATTTTGATAAATGAGGCCCACCACGAGAATACACCATAATGATGAACTGCCATGTTATGTCTTTGTCTCTTCTATCCTCATCTCTCCCTTTGCACTGTCTTCTCTGTCTGATCCACACAGGTGACATGGAGTATTGGATGGAGCACACCTCTTGGCACAGCAGTGAGGCATCCCCAATGTCTTTGGTGAGACATGCGGGGCCGTAACATCCAGTTTCCTTTACCATCTACACCTCCCTTTGTTTTTATTTATACCTATGCATGTTTTCTTTTCCTTTTTTATATATATACATTTATATATATATATTTTATATATATATATCCTTTTTTTTATCCCACACTTGTAGGGGACAGTCAAAGGGGAAAAAGAAAAACTAGTGAGCAGGCAGTTTTGTCGGATTCTAACACCTTGTCTGAAAGACAAAAGAGAATGGTGTGCTTTGGAGCCCACTCATTGGAAGAGGATTTGGAATGGTCTGAGCCTCAGATTAAAGACTCTGGGGTAGACACGTGTAGTAGCACCACCCTTAATGAGGAGCATAGCCATAGCGACAAGGTACTGACGTTGTGGAAGCCTGCATTTTGATCTGCTCATTTGGTCTTCGTTTGCTCTCTGTCACTCATTGAATTTAAAACATTTTTTTAATGACCAGGCGGATGGGGTTTATTTGAAGACTGCAGGGTAGTCAGGGGCCACTGGCCAATGACAAGCCACCTCTTTGGCAGTTGGGACCCGTAACTGCTGTCTTTGAATGAGCTCCAGTCTGTTTTCTTAACACTGTAGTATTTCTTAAGGTGCAGAAAAGAAAAACAAAACTGAAAGAAAAAAAAGAAAATATAAAAAAAAAAAAAAAAAAATTCATTCTTGTATTGCCACCCTTGGCAGGGCAAGAATAAAAAAAAAATTGCCAGGCACCGAGTATTGTATTTTTGTTTGTGTGATCTAGAGTGTGATATCTTATTTATTCACCACATTGCATAACAACTGAGGTTGAGTTGGCCGGGTGTTAGATATAACCCAACGTCAACGGGTTCAAGAATGAAAGAACACGACAAAATACGAACAATCATTTTTAAAAAAACAAAATTGGGTCTGTTTGCACAGAAAAGTTGTTTTTCTTTTTTCCCTTTCACTTTCATGTTATGTCCGTCCACATCTGTCGTCCATTGTTTTTGTGTTGTTTGTGTTGTAGTGTGCCATTCATTGTTCTGTTTATTTTGCATTTAGCTTGACAGCAGTCATGACATGTGTCAGTTTTTCTCACTGTGCTCTCTATTTGTCAAATGTGCATGGAGCATGAACTTGTGCTAAGCTAGAGGAACAGCTTTGATTACACAAGTTATATTGTGCTAGGTTATAAATCATCAACTGCGGTCAATCTGAAGCTTACCCAAACATTATTCTGCCGGTATGGGTAGGCACCAGCGAACAAGATCACCTCCTGGCTTCTTCCATCTCTGGCAAGATTTCCCCAGAGGAGTTCCTGTATCTTCCCCTCCCCACTTGGCCATAACAAAGGTGTCACCCTCTTATAGTAGGAACCTCCCATTCCTTTGTTTGGTATTCATTACAAACATCCAAGGGTGGAAAAGTGCCCTCAACATTTAAAGCAGGCCATGCATTGGTCAAAATTCAGATGATTCAGCAGGGACCGGCCGAATTGCAATGCTTGCATGAGCAGGTTGATTGTTCCCAAGTCGACCCATCAAGCAACGTGGGTACAACTAGCCTGTTGTATGTTTTTATTTGCTGCCGGGCGGGAAGGCTCCCCACTCCACCTGTGATGGAAGGCTCCCCGTGCCACCTATGGTGGAAGGAAACACAATTGAGTCATCTATGGGCTGCCTTAGTTTGCAATGTCCATGGTGTTTGACAATTTATTTGGGGATACTAGCTGTCTCGGCCTTAAAGGTATCAGAAGCAAACAATTCAGTGCACAAGCAACATTGAAGCATCACTTCCTGGTGAAGTTGACTGTTAAAAATATCTACTTTTATTTAAAATATATGTGAAGGAAGCTTTTATTTGTTAGTTTTAGATAGGAGGTAGAAAAGTCACAGAGCACCTCAGGTTATTTATTACTGTATGTGTCCCTCTGGAGAAATTTTCCTTCACGTCCTGTCCTGCAGATGCAAAAGGAAATGAGAGGAAATATCTCTAAAAGTGAACAAAATTCCTATCATAGAGAAGTGTTATAGAAGCAGACATCATAATTTGAGAATGTTCCTTAACTTTTTGCTCGGGTGACAACTTTGTAATTTTGCATTTCCAACACTTTCTGTCTCAGTGGCAGTGGTTATCAGGAAAAATAAATCTCCCTAGCTTGAACACAGATAGAAATTAAAACTTGTCAACCATTCCTTTTGCCATTCAAAAAATAAACTTGTTTGCCTTTCACATACACTTAAACATTGACGACAAAGCATTTTTATTAATTTTGAATATAGTAAGAAAGGATGAAAACCCTTGTCAGGTTTTTTGCCATCTGTGTCACATTGGGAATATTTATCTTCACTTCCAGTCTCATAGCCACAACAGGAAGTAAGAGGAAATCCCTCCACAAAGTGAGAGAAATCCCTTGTAGTCACCAGGGTCTCAATTGGAAGGTTTTCCTTCTGTTCTGGTGAAAACTCAAAATATTGGATTTTCTTACTTTTGATAGTAAAGGTCACCAGGACAAATGGAGAGGGTGAATCTCCGTAAGCCCTGGTTCACACTGGGCCCAACTTAGAAATCGCGTGGCTTTTCTTGAATTCACATGATTTCAAAGTCGGATGGCATTGGGACTTTAGGTACGACTTGATAGACATCTGTATGGCTTCATACACAGATGTCTATGAGAGTCGCACCTGAAATTGGCAAAAGTAGTGCAGGAACTAATTTTCAAATCGGTGTGACTAATTACAGTGGTTCCATTGCTGATCATTGAATGCGATTTGTAATGCAATTTGAATGGTTACATCGCATGACGATTCACATCAGTGTGAACCAGGGCTAATAGGGACACAGACAGTAATACACAATTGACTAGTGTTCTACTCTGTCTCCACTCTATCTAAAACTGAAAAAAGTTTTGCCTTCAGTTAAACTTTAGCTAGGTCTTCCTAACTACACCATGGAAGTTGCAATGCACCTCACTGGAAGAGACATTTACATTTCCCAAATTAAATTATCAGAAGAAGGGAAAAAATATAAGGGGAGAGAGGGAGAAAAGAGACCTTTTAGGTTAGAATGATTTAGATTAAAAGAAACATTTTTAAAAGGTTTTGTAAATTTACCATAGAAAGTGTACACACGGACAGAACATTTTACTTCGTTTGGGATAGAGTAGGGAAAGGTTAGAGCTTCTGTTGGGGTATTACTGTCTGTGTCCCCGTGGCAGGGATTTCCTTGCATGTCCTGCCAGGAAAAGAAGTGAACTCTCCAATGGAGACAAAAACACATTTTTAGTAGGATGGGAAAATGTTATACCTTCTGACAGTGTTTTTAGTGCTGACCATGCGTTCCTGTCCCCATTACATCCAAACCCCTGTTTTCTTAAATGGGGACAAGATGTAAAGGAAAATCCCCACAATGGGGTCACAGACAGAAATACAAATCTGCAGGTTTTGTACATTTTTTTCTTGTTTAAAGTTCAACTCAGGCCTGCATTCTGTTATTTACATATTTTTAACATACATATAAACAGGTCCTCACTGACCTCTGTAGCTACAGGCCCTGGAGCAATTCCTCTTCAATTTTTCAGCAGAAGCACTCTCACTTTCAGCAGATCAGTGCATTTTAATCCCTCTCACAGCAGTGACTTGCTACCCTTTTAGCCTTCTTATGTCTAACTTATGCCAAACAGAAATGTGTGGAGCTAAACACATAAATAGGATTAAAAGTATTCAATTATCTCATATCGACCTAGTTACTAAAAAACAAATTATATTACATATAGAGATAACGTTGGATACAGTATTGCCACGCACTATTCAATCAAAATCAATTCTTAGGGAATTATAAATAAATCCCAAATAATGAAGTGCAATATAGTGCAAAAATGTGCAAATAAAGCAATGAGAAGTATTGTTGCCCATAAATACAGTCAAAACTCTCCTATTAAAGTGCAAAAGTACAATTCATCTATAAAGGTAATATGTGATTAAAATAACACCACAATATGTCCATAAACTATTCAAAAGTGCTATATTCCTCTTTGAAGTGAAAATGTGGTCAAACTGTGTCCAGGTAACCAAACACCAGCCTCTTACTGGAAGCAATTGACCATTAGGATTAAAATGCGTTCTTTGCAAACTCCTACATTGCTCCACACAGCTATGCCACTTCCCATCCAGATGTGCATTAATAAAACACCAAGTCTCTTACCAGAGGGTACTGACCATGAAGAATAAAATGGATCACTGAGTGTTGATCCCTTTTCTTAGCTGGTGCTTACAATAAGCCAAAATAGAAAGTAAAGGTGGCAAACCATAGTTTAGTACTTTAAAATCCACTTCTTTATTAAAGAAAGGTGCACTCCCATTAAAATATATAAAAAAAAAACGCCAAGCACTATCCAACCAGGCAAACCTCGGACCCGCAAACCAATACGTGATACTATGTGTGATGACGTCACATTGTAGGCCACGCCCCAACATTTCATAAAAAATGGTGCTGTCCTGGGGACTGGCTTACGTTTACAGTGTACAAGAAGTGGGTAGATCAGAATGCCAAGAGCCAGCATGGACAACTTGGACAACTTTATTGCTTCTCCTTTAAACTTGAGAATGAGTTGCACCAAGGTGTTTGCAGCTACAGAGGTAAGTGAGAACTTTATTATAGCGAACACTGTTAAGACTATGCAAATACCTGAATGTCCATAGTATGCACACAAGTTAATTTTGAAGCCTATAAGTTGTTAAAGTAAAACTAAAGGCAAAGCTCTTTTTTTTTTTTTCAGTTTTGGAAGAAGAGAGATGGATTAGAACACCTCACAGTTTTTATTGCTGTCTGTGCTCCCATCAGGGAGATTTGCTCTTTCTATTTGTCCTGTTTACCATTATAGTTTAAAGAGAAAGTAAAAGAACTTTCCAAAGTTTGGGTTGCCCTCAGAAAAGTAATAGAGGGGACCTTTAGGGGTCCCCAGGAGATTCCTTTAATTTGCAGTGATTACCTCTCAATGCCCATTTAGCTATGAGACAGGTAAATCCCTCCAGTGGGGAAAAATGACTAAATAAAACCTTAGGGGCTATAACCCTCCCTTACTCTATCCAAAATGAAAAAAAAAAGTTTTGCCTATAGTTCTATAACCAAAAGTTTGATTACTTGGAGCACTGCCACACACTCCTAAATGTCAAAATGATGTATCAGTCCTTCAGTAAAAGCATTTTAACAGGCATGTCCCTTTGCTCATCTAGATATCACAGTACAGGATCATAGTACATGAACACATAGGAAATCCAAGTGCTGTTCCCAAACTCATATTAATGATTGCACTGCTGCATGTTAGAATACACTATATTGCCAAAAGTATTAGGACTCCTGCCTTTACACGCACATGAACTTTAATGGCA